GCGACCAAATTTGGAAGGTGGGAATTTTAGAGTGAAATCCTCAAATTAAATATCCTTGATATTTCCATGAATTGGAAACTTTGTTGGTTTCTGATGATGAGACCAATGTTGTTTCATTGTATTCCTGTAACATAAACTTGATTCATTTAAGCAACACTTGTTTTGACTCTGCTGATACTGGCTGGACACCCACAACAGCAATAAGCTATGATTTGCACACCACTAAGCCAAAACCAAGACAATTATATTTTGGCATCAATGAGTTGTGTAAGCCCGGTCTCTGGAGGACTATTTGTTTTAAATTCTTCCGTATAAACATTTATTTCCTTTTTTCCCTCACTGTCTTTCTAGGAGTTTCAGACTGCATTGTCCAGTTTGGCATCCCCCAAGGTACTGGGTTATAGTTCCCATCATCCCCAATCAGCACAGTCACTGCTTGCACTGGTTGGGGATTGTGGGAGTGGAAATTGGTTCCCTCTAAAGACCAACAATGAGATGAATTTCAGAGGACTTCTATTACATCAGGGGGTCAAACTCGCCACGTCACGTGACGTGTCATGACGTATCACAACTTTTTCCCCATTGCTGGAGCTGGGATGGGTACGGGCCAGCAATTTGACACCCCTGTATTACATCATCTGCTCTCCGTTTGAATTTCACTCCAAAGGAGTAAACCAAATTTGAAGTTTTCCACAGAATAGGGATAAGTACTTTTTTCCAATTGCGTTCTCAACCTTAAGTTTGGGCTGGGCTGCTCAGGACCACCAACTTGTCCCACACCACGGTTGTAAGTTTGCTGAATGATGGTGCCTTCTATTTCATCTCAGCCATGATCACATATCTGATGCAGGTGGTGGAAAATCACAGGTGTTTGGCCTGAGACAATGTGTGCACTTAAATTAGGTACTTCTTAAGTACATCAAATAGTGTCAAAATGACAAATAGTGGAGTGATAAATATTACCATTCCACTATTTGTCATTTGGACCCTATTTGATGTTAAAATATTTTGATAACGCATTATTTGAAGTTGTCGATGGCCTTTTCTATTCCTGTAATTGATGGCTGGAACTTGGAAAGGATTGTATGGCTTCTTCAATTTCACATCAATCATGGTCATAAACCCGGTCAGGTGATGGTCAAGCACAGGTGCTTTGGCCTGAGACAGCAGGCGTGCACTTACTATGAGATGCCTCTTAAGCAATATTTATCATTCCACTGTGTTATTCAGGCAATATTTGATGATAAAGTATTTTGATAACAATATTTGAAGTTGCCAATGGCCCTTTTCTTTTCTACAAATTCCGTGTAATTTGTGTACAGAACTTAGAAGGATTATATGTACGCCATGTCTTGGCCCAAGATGCTGTAGGAAACTCATTCTGGCTCTCGGTGCTGCCATTTTCTGCAAAAATGATGCGCAAGATCGATTTTCTTTTTATGAAGGAAGTTTTTTTTCCTTTCTGGAGAGAGATATAATGACCCAAACTCTAATAGTAAATCCACAATAGGGGGAATATTGAATTAGTTTTATTGACTTTTCAGGCCAGCAGATTAGATTAATATTAGATTTATTTATTTTACAAGTGTTAACTGAGGAGTTGCAGCATCCATATAAGTCACCAGGGATGCTTTCAGAAGCTCATGTCCTCCTCATTCCTCCACAGGTTGTCTCATGCTTCATAGACTGTTTCACATTTTATCGAAGCTTCATAATACTCCCCCACCATTTTGGAGATGGGGGACATCAGGCAATAGTATCTACAGGGGCTTTGCTAGTCCTGTGATGCACAACATCCTCCAGGCCAAAATCAGCCCATTTCATCTTTTAATTCCTTGTGTGGCCAATATGACCACAAGGACCTTAGAGATAATATAGAAAGCCAACAGGCAGCCACCAAATGTCTCCTAGAAAGGAGGATTTAGAACTCTTCCCATATTGGCTTAAGTATGATTAATAATTTGATTGTCCTCTGAAATCCAGAATGCCTTTAATAAACGCTGCAAGCCATTCCTGAGTACATAGATGAGGAGCTTCGGGTCCTTCTTTTTGGAGGTGTTTAGACAATTCAAGCCTTTTTTGCATCTTGTTTGGAGATACAAATTGATTAGGGCTCCCAATTTGTCTATTTGAAGTAGGTTTTGCTATGAAGGAAGGAAAGAGAAAGAGCTTAAAGTTGCCCAACTGATATTTTGAAAGAGAGATTCCAGTCTGAGGGGGTCATTTCCTTCAGAATATAAATGTTTGGAGAATTTAGTGGCTTGACTAATGTCTGGAGAATTTAAGGGTTTTCGTGCTGGCAGGAAGAGATATTTTTAAGGATGCTGCAACTACTTAAAAGGATTAGCAAGCTCCTTTTCTTCCTTGGCTGTCCAAAAACAGTCCCTGAGGGCCATTGTGCTCTTTAGGCAGCTCTTAAAACTGCCACCATCTTCAGGCATCAAACATGCCTAGGACCATCTTCTCACAACCTGCCCAAGGAAGAGACTGAGACAAGACAAGGAAGAGACTGAGAACACCAAGGTTAAAAAAAACAACAACCCTCTCCATCCCTCCCTGTTATTGGCTGGCTAAAACTGGCCTGACTACTCTGCTTCCTCTGATTGAACAAGGGGCCTGTCACTCATGCAACTCCAGGCCCGCCTCTCAGAAATGGTTATGGAGGAGGCTTCTTCCCTCAAAATGGCTGCCTGGCCTTTTCTGGCCTTCTGCAGCTTCTCTCCCCTTTTTGGGATCTCGCAAGTCTCTCTCTGGGCGGGGATCCCTCTCAGTGGTGGCCCCAGAGCCATGAGGAGAAAATGCAGGGGAAAAAAAACAACATTTCAAATTACTTCATGAATTTTTCACTGAACAGCCAGGGAAACTGAGTCAGCTTTGCTTTTTTTTCATCGAGACATTTAAATATTTCTAACACTGTTTGAGATGGATAACCCCAGATTTGCTGAGTAAAAATAATGAATCCCCCAAATAAAGCCTCCCCTGTCAGGAGCAGTCTATCGCATGTTATGACGTTTTGAGAACCTTTTGTGGACAATCAGGCAAAGTCCTCTAATCTGCTGTTCCTCAGTGCACATGCAGAGTTCTTTCTTATTAAGCCCCCTTTGTCCCAATTTTCTCTATAATGCCACAGGCTGGGAAGGTGTTCTTGGTGTTTCAGAAATATTCTCAAAATGCAAAAAAAAAAAACAACCACAAAAACCCAACCTACCTGAAATTAACTCATAATTTTTCTTCTGGTTTTCACCCACATTTTGGTCATTTGGCAAGCAGCCCACATTGATAGCCATTTGTAGTCGCATAACCGTGATTTACGTTTTTTTTTGCTGGAAACCTATGTTTATTCCTGGTTTCTGCCAAAAAGCCTCTCACTGGGGACCATGGATTTCATTAACGACCTCATATTCACTTATTGACTGACACAAAACGTCTTAAAATTGGGTTGGTCACCTGATGACTCCCTTAATAATCAGCATGGCTTACAACTGTAATTCTGGGCTCAAAAACGGTTGTAAATCGAGGACTTCCTGTATATTGTGTAAAGTGTATATGTGATATATATATCGGATATAGTTGTAAAAAATCAAGGATAATAGGATGGGAAAATAAAGTTATTCTGCAAGGTGAGAAGATTACACTGGCTGACTAGAATACCTGCTTGGCACCTCATGCTAAGTTGTGGTTTGCTGAATTAATCTCACCTGTCTAGAATAATTTAATAAGCTGGCTCATCGGTTATTGTATTAGCATGACTTCCTAATCTAGGACTAACCACATTTCACTGTATTACTCTAATCCAACCACATAGCTGTAAATCTTGATTTCCAAAGAAAAGTGGCTAGGTTCAAACAAACCATGGTCTGGTTTCACATGAAGGGTGAAGACAAGAATGCTGGAAGAGAGGCAAAACCATACAGAACATACTGAAATGAGTAAAATGAGTATTACACGTTGGCTAAAGTGAGTTGAGGGCATGTGTATTCTGTAAATTCAGCCAAGGTGTACAATGGCAGCTTTGGGTGAGGTTGGTCTTGCAAAAAAAGAGCCATTATTATCCTTAGTAAGGCCACACCTGGAATACAGCATCCAGTTTTGATCACATTACAAAAAAGATGTTGAGACTTTGGAAAAAGTGCAGAGAAGAGCAACTAAGATGATTAAGGGCCTGGAGACAAAAACATACGAAGAACGGTTGCAGGAATTGAGTATAGCTAGTCTAGAGAAAAGAAGGACTATGGGTGACATCATGATAAAGGTATTCCAGTATTTGAGGGGTGACCACAAAGAAGAGGGGGTCAACTTATTTTCCAAAGCATCAGAAGGCAGGAGAAGAAACAATGGATGGAAACAAGGAGAGAAGCAACCTGAAACTAAGGAGAAACTTCCTAACCGTGAGAACAATTAATCAGTGGAAAGAGCTTGCCTTCAGAAGTTGTGGGTGCTTCATCACTGGAGGCTTTTAAGAAGAGACTGGACAGTCATGTGTCTGGAATGGTATAGATCTCCTGCTTGAGTAGCGGGCTAGACTAGAAGACCTCCAAGGTCCCTTCCCTTCTATTCTGATTCATTTCATTAGCCTGCATCCTATCAAGGTTTTCAAGAGTAGTTTTGCCTCCTCTCCTTTTCTTTCCCTTCCTGCAACAGGCACTACCGTGGGTTATTGTAAACGGTGCAGGATGGTTATTTCTAATCTCAGTTAAGGCATCAAACGAGGCGGAATAGGGTTAAGTGCTGGGTGTGCTTGCTATCTCAGGGTTGGATCAGTTGGTCATGTGAACGCAGCTCTTATTTTCCAATTATTGACTTAGTAATTAATATTTGATATATGGGCAAATAAGGATGGGCAAATAAGATGTAGATAATGATCTGCAAACATTCCCAGGATTCATTGCCATCCTGGGCTATATCTGTCCCCGCTGTGCCAGGTTCAGTTCAGTACGACTGTTGGGGTTGCCTGCTTGCTCTACTTGCGCACCTGCCAGCCTCTCTCTCTCACCAGCCCCATGGCGCGTTCCCGGCTGCCTTGCCCTCTCGTCCTCCTCTGCTCCCTCCTGATGCTGCCCTCAGTGCTGCTACAGGAAGTGGGAATGCCTGGGGGACTTTTCCCCGCATCTGTCACAGATGAGGGGGTGCAGAACGCTGCCGCCTTTGCCGTGGAGCAGTACAACGAGCGCAGCAACAACCCCAACTATTTCAAGGAGCTGCATATTGTGAAGGCACAGACCCAGGTGTGTGTGTATGTGAGGGACAATCAGGGTAGGTGGGCAGCCCCATAGGGTCCGTGGGATCCTTGGAACGCTCTGAGCTTGATTGTTTTCTTGAAGACATTTCATTACCAAACTAGATAACATCATCAGTGGAAGGGGCTCTGGAAACAGTGGAAGGGAGGGATGGAGGCAGTTTAGGGGGCTATTCCCAGGGGAGGACTGCATTGTGTCTTGAGCAAATTGTGACCTGAAAGGACATGACTGTTTGCTCCCGAAATATTTCCAGCTGAACTGATTTTCTTGCTCTCAAGCTATAATCCTTCCAAGGTTGCATCTGATGAAATTAAGCATGATTTAGAATTTATTATAATTTTTTTGCTGCAATTACCTAAACATTGTGGTACCTATTTTTTTAAATCCAGGTGGTTTCAGGCATGAAATACTATCTTACGGTGGACATAGGGAAAACAGTGTGTGAAAAGAGCAACGGGCCAATGGCATACAGCGAAATTCAGAAGTGTGAGCTCCTTCCACAAGAGGTGAGATTAGAGGGTTATATTTTTTTGCCGCTGAATTGATGAAAGATGCCTCGTCTCAGCTTAGCTTCTCTAAACTGGACGTTTTTAAGAAGAGACTGGACAGCCATCTGTCCGAAATGGTGTAGGGTTTCCTACCTGAGCAGGGGGTTGGACTCGATGACCTCCAAGGTCCTTTCCAACTTTATTATTATTATTATTATTATTATTATTATTATTATTATTATTATTATTATTATTATTATTATTATTATTATTATTATTATTATTATTATTATTGTAGCGCTACCTCCTCAGAGGCCGCCAATGCCCAGGCCCTCCCAGCCATGTCCCCCCTTGTCCAGCCTTGCAGCAATGTTCTTTAGAGATCGATGAGATGTCTTACAACCGGAGCTCACGCAGCATTAATGGGTGGCAGGCTCTTCTTGTTGAAGCAGGACTTTCAGGCACGAACTTAACCAGTCTCAGTGGTTGATGCTCTGAAGATGTATATAACAGCTCAGGGTTGCTTTAGCAGCAGGAGTAGCNGTTATGGCAATGGCTCATCCCCCAGGGCAACTCCCCCCACCATGTCCCAGCACCTATGCCAGCAGCGATGGCCACAGTCCAGATGCCTCCAAAGTCCACAACAACAGTTGGCAGCAACAGTTGGCACCACCAGTCTCTCTCCTCCTGGTGCTTCTTCTCTAGGATTCTTCTTCAGGTTTCAGGATTCAAAACCACCCCCCTCCCTTACTCTTTATTATTAAAATCCGAGGCTAGAAACCCCAGCCAACTCCCTTACTCCACGCTCTCGCTTGCCTCCGTCTCAGATATCCTCCCACGGAGGAAGCAATAAAACTTCACTCTATCTAGCCTCTATTTAAAATACCCTTGATAGAAAAATAAAATAAGCTTCCAGACCTTCTCTTCTCAACTCCAACCCACCCCAGCCTTCTCCTTTTCTTCCCTTTTCTATCCTTCCTCCTTCCACTCACGCCAGCCACACCCAAGCCAACTGCAGCTGCCCCAATCTTCCCCTTCCCAGTCAAGCTCCTGCAAGCACTCTCAGGCAGTCCCCGCTACATCATCATCATCATCATCATCATCATCATCATCATCATCATCATCATCATCATCATCATCATCATCATCATCATCATCATCATCATCATTATTATTATTATTATTATTATTATTATTATTATTAACTTCTCTGAACCAGATTGTAATGTTTGTTTTGGATGACTCCTATTCATAGAACATAGAACATAATAAAACAAAAAAATGGGAAGCCGAGTTATAAAAATGAGAATTATGAGTTCCAGGTTGAGTAGAGAAGAGCCCCTCTTAGCCAGTGCATCACACAGCATCCTAATTGGGTTAGGGTTTTTTCCCCCTAAGGTATTTGTAGATATTTCCCAGCAGACAATCTGATTATCTGATGGCTCAGTCCTCTCCCTTAGACCCTATATTATCCCATTTAATAAACCTTCTGTGACAAAGGACTGTCATTTTGGGGTACTTGAAGACTAATGTCGCATCCCTGCGCAGCCTTTCTTTCTGCAGGCTATTCTTTGCTATTCTTAGGACTTGGTTTCCAGACCCTCCTCTGAACTCACTCCAGTCTCTGGGGGTCAAATTGGACAAAACTCCAAGTGGGGCCTGACCAGGACAGGACAGAGGGGAATTCTCTTGATCCGGCTTTTCATAAACAGCCCCCCAAGTACTGGAAGACTGTATCAAGTCACTCCTAGGTCTTGTCTTTGTTAGACTAGAGTCCCAGGGTAGGCAACCTTGGCTCTTTTATGACTCGTGGACTTCAACTCCCAGAATTCCTGAGCCAGCCATGCTGAGGGAAAAGGGAGAGGTTTCCAAGCTGAGCCATGTTGGCTCAGGAATTCTGGGAGTTGAAGTCCACGAGTCATGAAGGGGCCATAGTTCCCCCATGCTGGCTCAGGAATTCTGGGAGTTGAAGTCCATGAGTCATCAAAGAGCCAAGGTGTTGCCTACCCCTGAACTAGACAGACTTAGTTCCCTTAACCATTCATCAGGGGATTTCGCCTCCAGATCCCTTATTATCTTTCTCTTCAATTTTCTCTGTGAAATGTCATCCGTTTTGTTTCAGCCAACTCTTCAAACCGGTCTAGATCTTTGCAATCTTCTCTTTCTCCTCTAAAGTCTTCCAACTTTGTGTCATCCATCAATGGGATCGTCATTTGCTCCCCATCCTCATCCAGGTCCTTAATAAATTAATAAATTAAAATATTTTTTTTCTCTTTTGTTCCCTTCCAGAAACTAACCTGTAACTTTCAAGTCTGGTCCCGTCCATGGCTGAATGAAAATCAGGTGACAAGCATGAGCTGTTTCTAATCTGGGTGACTAAGGTGGACCTCACCTGCCGAGACCAAGGTGGGCAAATGATTCTGAGAGTGTCCAGCAGCCAAGTGACCTCCTGGGTGCAGCTTGGTTTCTTCCAACAAGACCCCATGTATGGCCCTTCGCAAATCATGAACAAAATGGTTCATTTAAGTTCAAATTCAAGTTTTCTGCGTTTCTGAAATTGTTCCGTGACACACATGGGGGCCTCTTCTCGCTCCTCAGTTCCATCCTCTTTGCTATAATTTTCATCTTCGAGAAGACGAATCAATATTTTGTTAATTCAGTCTTAATAAAGCGATCATCACGATGCTCCGGCTTTTGTTCCTTTCTTGTCCAAATCCTATTCATGTTTTCACATGCATAACACAAGGCTACAATGGCTTGTCCAATAAAGCCTCTGGCTAGAAAGACTTTGCTTTGTCCAGCTGGGGGAAACAGGGGTCTGCCATGGGATTTTTGCTTTGCCCTTCCATGGGTCATGCCTCTCCTAACCAAGCTTCATAAGCTGACAGCCTGACATTAGCAACGGGGGGGGGGGGAGGAGGGAAAGATTGGACTATAACAGGTGTGTCAAACTCAATTTCATTGAGGGCCACATCAGCATTGTGGTTGTCCTCGGAGGGGTGGGCCAGGGTGGGCGCGGCCTACTGGGTGGGCATGGCTGGAGTGTGTGTGGCCTACTGGGTGGGCATGACTAGCTCTTCATCGTTCCCATCAAGGGTGCCTGGAGGGGCCTGAGCAGGAGTGGGACAGATCTGAGGGTCTCTGGCAGAAGGGGGTGGGACCGGGGCAAGCGCCAAGGCATGGTCCACTGGAGGAGCCTCACTGTTCCTCTCAGGCCATGCAAGGGGGGGGGGCTGGATGGTGCCCCTTCATGAGGCATGAAGAAATTCACCATCGCCTGGAAGTGGCCAGCACGTGGCCCTCGCCTACTTCACATATCTGGCTTGGTGGGTTTGGGGGGAGGGGACGCCATGAGCAACGTCAGAGTCGATGTTACCTGCACAATGCCACCCAGCCCCCAGCCTGCCCGGTTTCGGCAGGCAGCGGGGTGCTCTCCTCACAGTGCCGAGAGGCTGAGCCGGGCAGTGCGAAGCTTGCCAGCTGTACACCTTGCTGCCTGCTGAAATTGGGCAGGCTGGGGGCTGAACGGCGACGTGCTTCTTTTTGGATTCACGCCGCCAGGCTCAGCCTCTCGGCGCTCTGAGGACAGCACCCCATTGCCTGCTGAAACCCATCCCCTGGAGCCCATCAAGCCGGATACGTGAAGAATTCTGGGAGTTGAAGTCCACGAGTCATAAAAGAGCCAAGGTTGCCTACCCCTGGACTAGAGGACCCTTTGACCGGGATGGTATATAAGCACTGAGTGGAGGGTTGGACTAGAAGACCTCCGAGGTCCCTTCTTAGTCCTAGGATTCTGTTTTATGATTCCGTTATTCCCTTCAGCCACTAGAGAGCGCTATTCAACATGCTAAAAAAAAGAGGAAGCACAGCACACTCTATCAAATAAAAGATGAATTTTATTTTTTCTTTGTAACAATTGTTACAATCCAAAGAAGCTAAGTTTGAGAAAATTAAAACATTACAGGAAAGTAAATGGTGTATGATTCACGTGGAATGAACACGAACAAAAATAAAAAAAATGGAAATTAAAGATAAGAAGTGGGGTTGGGGGGGCTTGTTGGGGTGGATGTGGGGGCAAAGGCAGCATCTGGTTTCTTGCAGGGTCTGGTGGTCCGAGGAAAGGATGTTATTGTACATTTATTGACTTATTAATTTTATATGACATCCATGTCACTTTTCCAAGGATGGGAATATAGCTTTTGTTATCCCAATGCTGTCAAGCTCGTTTGGGGGTTTAAGAAGGGGACTCCCCAGCTTGTTAAAAGATGGGCAAGGAGATTGCAGAAATCGGGGTTGTGATTGGAAGGAGCCCTGACAGCTGCAAAAGGCCCCCCCCCGGTCTCCTTGCTGGACCTTCCCGATAGTCAAACCTTGTTCAAACTTTACAAGCAGCATAATATACAGTAGACATTAATTTTAAAATAATTTTTAGCCATTTTTTTGGCTTCTTTACGGAATACAGTGGAGCTGCACATACTGAGCTTGGTTGTCGCTGTTGTTATTTTGGTGGCTTAGCAGAAGTGCTGTNGTTATGGCAATGGCTCATCCCCCAGGGCAACTCCCCCCACCATGTCCCAGCACCTATGCCAGCAGCGATGGCCACAGTCCAGATGCCTCCAAAGTCCACAACAACAGTTGGCAGCAACAGTTGGCACCACCAGTCTCTCTCCTCCTGGTGCTTCTTCTCTAGGATTCTTCTTCAGGTTTCAGGATTCAAAACCACCCCCTCCCTTACTCTTTATTATTAAAATCCGAGGCTAGAAACCCCAGCCAACTCCCTTACTCCACGCTCTCGCTTGCCTCCGTCTCAGATATCCTCCCACGGAGGAAGCAATAAAACTTCACTCTATCTAGCCTCTATTTAAAATACCCTTGATAGAAAAATAAAATAAGCTTCCAGACCTTCTCTTCTCAACTCCAACCCACCCCAGCCTTCTCCTTTTCTTCCCTTTTCTATCCTTCCTCCTTCCACTCACGCCAGCCACACCCAAGCCAACTGCAGCTGCCCCAATCTTCCCCTTCCCAGTCAAGCTCCTGCAAGCACTCTCAGGCAGTCCCCGCTACATCATCATCATTATTATTATCATTATCATTATTATTATTATTATTATTATTATTATTATTATTATTATTATTATTATTATTATTATTATTATTATTATTATTATTAATTAACTTCTCTGAACCAGATTGCAATGCTTGTTTTGGATGACTCCTATTCATAGAAGAACATAATAAAACAAAAAAATGGGAAGCCGAGTTATAAAAATGAGAATTATGAGTTCCAGGTTGAGTAGAGGAGAGCCCATCTTAGCCAGTGCATCACACAGCATCCTAATTGGGTTAGGGTTTTTCCCCCCTAAGGTATTTGTAGATATTTCCCAGCAGACAATCTGATTATCTGATGGCTCAGTCCTCTCCCTTAGACCTTACGTTATCCCATTTAATAAACCTTCTGTGACAAAGGACTGTCATCTTGGGGTACTTGAAGACTAATGTCGCATCCCTGCGCAGCCTTTCTTTCTGCAGGCTATTCTTTGCTATTCTTAGGACTTGGTTTCCAGACCCTCCTCTGAACTCACTCCAGTCTCTGGGGGTCAAATTGGACAAAACTCCAAGTGGGGCCTGACCAGGACAGGACAGAGGGGAACAAGGATTTCTCTTGATCCGGCTTTTCATAAACAGCCCCCCAAGTCCTGGAAGACTGTATCAAGTCACTCCTAGGTCGTGTCTTTGTTAGACTAGGCCAGGGGTAGGCAACCTTGGCTCTTTTATGACTCGTGGACTTCAGCTCCCAGAATTCCTGAGCCAGCCATGCTGAGGGGAAAAGGAGAGGTTTCCAAGCTGAGCCATGCTGGCTCAGGAATTCTGGGAGTTGAAGTCCACGAGTTATGAGGGGGCCCATAGTTTCCCCATGCTGGCTCAGGAATTCTGGGAGTTGAAGTCCACGAGTCATCAAAGAGCCAAGGTGTTGCCTACCCCTGGACTAGACAGACTTAGTTCCCTTAACCATTCATCAGGGGATTTCGCCTGCAGATCCCTTATTATCTTTCTCTTCAATTTTCTCTGTGAAATGTCATCCGTTTTGTTTCAGCCAACTCTTCAAACCGGTCTAGATCTTTGCAATCTTCTCTTTCTCCTCTAAAGTCTTCCAACTTTGTGTCATCCATCAATGGGATCGTCATTTGCTCCCCATCCTCATCCAGGTCCTTAATAAATTAATAAATTAAAATATTTTTTTCTCTTTTGTTCCCTTCCAGAAACTAACCTGTAACTTTCAAGTCTGGTCCCGTCCTTGGCTGAATGAAAATCAGATGACAAGCATGAGCTGTTTCTAATCTGGGTGACTAAGGTGGACCTCACCTGCCGAGACCAAGGTGGGCAAATGATTCTGAGAGTGTCCAGCAGCCAAGCGACCTCCTGGGTGCAGCTTGGTTTCTTTCAACAAGACCCCATGTATGGCCCTTCGCAAATCATGAACGAAATGGTTCATTTAAGTCCAAATTCAAGTTTTCTGCATTTCTGAAATTGTTCCATGACACACATGGGGGCCTTTTCTCGCTCCTCAGTTCCATCCCCTTTTCTATAATTTTCATCTTCGAGAAGACGAATCAATATTTTGTTAATTCAGTCTTAATAAAGCGATCATCACGATGCTCCGGCTTTTGTTCCTTTCTTGTCCAAATCCTATTCATGTTTTCACATGCATAACACAAGGCTACAATGGCTTGTCCAATAAAGCCTCTGGCTAGAAAGACTTTGCTTTGTCCAGCGGGGGAAACAGGGGTCTGCCATGGGTTTTTTGCTTTGCCCTTCCATGTGTCATGCCTCTCCTAGCCAAGCTTCATAAGCTGACAGCCTGACATTAGCAACGGGGAGGAGGAGGGGGAGGGAAAGATTGGACTATAACAGGGGTGTCAAACTCAATTTCATTGAGGGCCACATCAGCATTGCGGTTGTCCTCGGGGGGGGGTAGGTGTGGCCAGGGTGGGCGCGGCCTACTGGGTGGGCATGGCTGGAGTGTGTGTGGCCTACTGGGTGGGCATGCCCAGCTCTACATTGTTTGCGTCAAGGGTGCCTATGGGGTCCTGGGCAGGAGTGGGACAGATCTGAGGGTCTCTGGCAGAACGGGGTGGGACCGGGGCAAGCGCCAAGGCATGGTCCACTGGAGGAGCCTCACTGTTCCTCTCCGGCCATGCAAGGGGGGGGGCTGGATGGTGCCCCTTCATGAGGCATGAAGAAATTCACCATCGCCTGGAAGTGGCCAGCACGTGGCCCTCGCCTACTTCACATATCTGGCTTGGTGGGCTTTGGGGGAGCAACGTGAGCAACGTGAGAGTCGACGTTACCTACGCAATGCCACCCAGCCCCCAGCCTGCCTAGTTTCGGCAGGCAGCGGGGCGCTCTCCTCACAGTGCCGAGAGGCTGAGCCAAGCAGCGCGAATCCAAAAAGAAGCGTGATGCCACCCAGCCCCCAGCCTGCCCGGTTTCGACAGGCAGCGGGGCGCTCTCCTCACAGCGCCGAGAGGCTGAGCCGGGCAGTGTGAAGCTTGCCAGCTGTGCACCTTGCTGCCTGCTGAAATTGGGCAGGCTGGGGGCTGAGCGGCGATGTGCTTCTTTTCGGATTCACGCCGCCAGGCTCAGCCTCTCGGCGCTCTGAGGACAGCACCCCATTGCCTGCTGAAACCCATCCCCTGGAGCCCATCAAGCCGGATATGTGAAGAATTCTGGGAGTTGAAGTCCACGAGTCATAAAAGAGCCAAGGTTGCCTACCCCTGGACTAGAGGACCCTTTGACCAGGATGGTATAAGGGTCCTGCCTTGAGTGGAGGGTTGGACTAGAACAGTGGTTCTCAACCTGTGGGTCGGGACCCCATATGGGGTCGATCGACCATTTCACGGGGGTCGCCAAGCAAGGCTGTCCGCCATTTTTTTTGTCCGCCATTTTTTCCCCCTTTTCCGGCGGGTGCCTTACCTCCCTTGGGCTGGGCCAGCTGGTGGTCGGCCTGCTCTGTCTCTGCCGCTTGCCAGCTACGCCTCGGCCGGCACAGGGGGTGGAACCACGCATGCGCGGTGCTCCCGGGCATTGGACCTGGCTACCTCCGAGACCGCCTTCTGCCACAGATTCCCTCCCATAGACCGGTACGCTCCCACAGAGCGGGCCTCCTCAGGGTGCCGTCGGCCAAGCAATGTAGGCTGGCGACCCCCAGGGGGAGGGCCTTCTCTGTGGGCGCCCCCACCCTCTGGAACGAACTACCCCCCGAGATCCGGATGATTCCGGATCTCCTTACTTTCCGCCGCGCCCTCAAGACATGGCTTTTCCAGCAAGCGGGCCTGACCTAGGGAGGATTTTAGGTAGGGATGATTTTAAGAAAATTTTAATTGACACACAGCTTCCAATATTTGGCTTTTAATTTGGNCCCCCCCCCGGTCTCCTTGCTGGACCTTCCCGATAGTCAAACCTTGTTCAAACTTTACAAGCAGCATAATATACAGTAGACATTAATTTTAAAATAATTTTTAGCCATTTTTTTGGCTTCTTTACGGAATACAGTGGAGCTGCACATACTGAGCTTGGTTGTCGCTGTTGTTATTTTGGTGGCTTAGCAGAAGTGCTGTCAGTTGTGTGCCATCATCATCGTTTATCATCAACCTAGCCATGGTCCATCCACTGCAGGATGGAGGCCTCTTCCGCGTGTTTCCCACCAATGCGGTCCTGAGTTTTCCTTTGGCCAGTTGGACCCACGACCCTTCCTGATGTCCATCTTGCTTTAGGTCTCTTTCGTGGGCGCTTTTGACCAAGCGGGATCCATTCTATGACCGCCTTGGTCCACCAGCCATCGGTTCTAGATAGGTAGGTAGGTAGGTAGGTAGGTAGGTAGGTAGGTAGGTAGATAGATAGATAGATAGATAGACAGACAGATAGATGAAAAGAAGAGAAGAGAAGAGAAGAGAAGAGAAGAGAAGAGAAGAGAAGAGAAGAGAAGAGAAGAGAAGGACGAGGGGGGACAGGATAGCAGTCTTCCAGTATCTCAGGGGCTGCCCCAAAGAAGAGGCAGTCAAGCTATTCTCCAAGGCGCCTGAAGGCAGGACGAGAAGCAACGGGTGGAAACTGATCAAGGAGAGAAGCAACCTAGAACTAAGGAGAAATTTCCTGACAGTTAGAACAATTAACCAGTGGAACAACCTGCCTCCAGAAGCAGTGAATGCTCCAACACTGGAAGTTTTTAAGAAGAGACTGGACAGCCATTTGTCTGAAATGGTATAGGGTTTCTTGCCTGAGCAGGGGGTTGGACTAGATGACCTCCAAGGTCCCTTCCAACTTTATGATGATGATGATGATGATGATGATGATGATGACGACGACGATGATGATAGACAGACAGACAGACAGACAGACAGACAGACAAGGTAGCTAGCTAGCTAGCTAGGCAGGCAGGCAGACAGACCATCATTCATCTTCATCCTATCCAGTGCAGGATGAAGGCCTCTTACGCATATTTCCCACCAATACGGTCCTGAGTTTTCCTTTGGCCAGTTGGACCCACAACCCTTCCTGATGTCATCACTCCATCTTTTTTGAGGTCTCTTCCGTGGGTGCTTTTGACCAAGGGGGATCCACTCTATGACTGCCTTGGTCCACCGGCCATCGGTTCTTCTTGCTATGTGACCAGCCCCATTTCCATTCCAATTCTTTTACTCTCTTGATGGCCTCGTATATTTTCCTTTGTTCCCTAATGATCCACGTGCGGGTCTTCCTATCTTGTCCTGTGATGCCGAGCATGTCTCTTTCTTTGCGCCACTCTTAGCTTTTGTATCGATTGTGAGGTTAGGGTCCAGGTTTCGCCGGTGTCCGTTAGAGCAGGTAGCACAAACAGCCAGTGTCAACCTGGGTACCAAGTTTCCACTGCAGGTTGGCTTCCCAAAGCTCCCTCCACAAAGGGCTTGCAGGTGCAATCGGAGATAAGGAGTGCAGCAGGTGTGCCAGGAGAGGAGTGTCCTTGCCCTGCCCACCTGACAGGGAGGCTGTCCTTGGTCTTCAAGCTGGGCGTGGTGAGGGAGTCCCCGTCCCAGCTCGATTGTGCCTTTCTCTTTTCCCAGCAAGTCGGCAGCTCCGGCTCCAGCCAGGATTTGGATACTGAAAGGAAAGCTAAAAGCTGCAGCTCCCTGTGAAAGGAAAAGAGTCCTGGAAGCCCAGAAGCAGCATCTTTGTCCTCACATCTCTGATTTCCTTGCGAGGCAGAAGGGCGGCTCTGTGGAAGACCTGGACAGATATTTTCTTGGGAAGACACTGCAGCCTTCCGGCCTCAACTGTGCAATGGTCAGAGGGGCCGTGAAAAAGGACCTTTCAAGGGAATCTGTTTCTGCTCCAAGATGGATCTGACCGAGCTTTTGGGTGACGGGTGGAATGTCAGTGTCACAAACGGGACCTCGAAGGGGATATTTGACTTGTTCAGTGATGACACCGCCTTGGTCTCACCGGATGTTTCATTTGGCGTAAGAATATTCATCACCACAGTCTACCTGCTGGTGTGCGCAGGGGGCCTCTTGGGAAACAGCCTGGTGATGTACCTCATTTGGATCCAGAAGGACCGGTCCACGGCAGCCATTAACATCTTGGTCTTTGGCCTGGCAGTCGCCGACTTCCAGTTCTCCCTGATGCTGCCTTTCTGGGCCACGGAAATGGCCTTGGACTTCCAGTGGCCCTTTGGCCAAGCCATGTGCAAAGCCGTCCCTTCCCTGACTCTTCTGAGCATCTACGCCAACGTCTTCTTGCTTACGGCCATGGCGGTCACCCGCTACTGGTCGGTAGTCTCGGCTGTGAAGGATGGGTTAAGGATGACGCCCCAAGCGGCCAAGTACATCACTGCTGCCCTTTGGGCCGTGGCGGTAGGGCTCACCGTACCGACGGCTGTCTATGCCGGAATGGTAAACATTGCCGGGGTGGAACTCTGCCTCTTCCAATTCCCCAGCCAGTATCACTTGGGGATCTACCAACTCCAGAGAGTGGTGTTTGCCTTTGTAATCCCCTTGGTGGTCATCCTGACGTCTTACCTCCTCCTCCTCCGGTTTCTCAGATTTCACCACATCACCAGCCACAGCCTAACGCGGCATAACCAGGTTGCCGCCACCGTCCGCCTCCTGGTCGGCTGCTTTTTCATCTGCTGGTTCCCTAACCACGTGGTCACCGTCTGGGGCGTTCTGGTGAAATTCGAGGCTGTGCCCCATGACGCCACCTTTCACTATCTCCACACTTACGTCTTCCCGTTGACCACCTGCTTGGCTCACGCCAACAGCTGCCTCAACCCCATCCTCTACTGCCTGATCCGCCGCGAGTTCCAAGAAGCGATGAAGGACACCTTCCGCCGGCTGTCCTCCATCGCCTCCTACCAGTTGTTCTCCTCCCACAAGGCCTGGGAGGAGGGGGAGCTGGTGGTTCTGCCTCTCGGCCCATCCGATGCTCCCCACGGTCCTCGAAGCGGAGCAAAGGAAGATACTGCCTTCTCTACCATCTTGGAACCAGAAAAAGAGGGTTGTGCTGCTGGAGGACTCTGAGGAGCATCTTCTGGACCTTGAGGAAGGTGCTTCAGACCTGAGCCAAATTCCAGGATCCTAATGCTGACTGGGGCTTTTTCAAATCAAAGATCTGTGCAACTGGGGACGTGCCTCCGCTTTGGCTTCTTAATGCTGCAAGAGAGTTCCTTGACGATACCCAGATGTGTTGCTTGCTCCTCCAGTGAGTCCTTGCCTCCTCTTCTCCCAGACATCAAAAATTAAGAGGAACAGAGGTTTTGAACAAAACTTTGAGAGAGTTTTGTGGCTCTGGCTCTGTTAGTTCAACAGGCTGATTGTGTGTAAACCACTTAAAGCACTATGAAGCGGGATATAAGTGCTTATTCTATTCCAGTGGTGGTGAACCTATGGCACACGTGCCGGAGGCGGCACTCAGAGCCCTCTCTGTGGGCACACATGCCATCACCCCAGCCCTGCCTCTCCCAGTGGCCCCCTCCTCACCAGCAGCCCCCCCAGAGGAGAGTCGCCACCAAGCGTAGCCCATGCGGACCAGCACAGCCAAGGACATGGCAGCCAGGACAAGACTCCACCTCGCCCCCCATCATGTGCAGATGCTGCTGTGGGGCGTGGCCGCCTTGGCGCTGCTGGGCTGCCTGGGTGATATGTGGTGGGCCATGGAGGCGGTGAGTGGCCCTGCGGGCAGGTGGGGGGCAGGGCGGGGGTGGTTTTTGGGCACTCGGTCTCTAAAAGGTTCGCCATCACCTATTCTATTCTATTCTATTCTATTCTATTCTATTCTATTCTATTCTATTCTGTTCCATTCCTATCATGGTGGTACAATGATTAGAATGCAGTATTCCTTCCTTCCTTCCTTCCTTCCTTCCTTCCTTCCTTCCTTCCTTCCTTCCTTCCTTCCTTCCTTCCCAGTGGTTAGAATGCAATATTGCGTACTAACTCTGCCCAATGCCAGGAGTTCGATCTTGACCGACTCAAGGTTGACTCAGCCTTCTGTCCTTCCAAGGTGGGTAAAATGAGGACCCGGATTGTTGGGGGGGGCAATAGGCTGACTCTGTAAACTACTTAGAAAGGGCTGTGAAGTGCTGTGAAGCGGTATATAAGTGCTGTTGCTATTGCTATCGGTTTTCCAAGTAGTTCTCTAGCTTAAAATCCACAGAGAGCCAAAGAAACATCGGAGCTCTTGTCCCCGGATCAAGCCATTAAATGGAAAGTGTTTTATTCCTATTTCAATTAAGGTTCTTATTTATGAATGTGGATCAAGATAAAATCTTTGGTCCAACTAATTCTGGATTCTTGACCCCAGAGAAGATCTATGAACATTCAAACCAAGGTCACGTCCCAGAAGCCGCCAAATAACCCAGGGAATGTCAGAATCGAACTTCTGACACTGAACTGGAACCTCGGTGTCTCTCATTTGCGAAGTGCAATAATTACAGAGTAGAATACAGAATAACAGAGTTGGAAGGGACCTTGGAGGTCTTCTAGTCCAACCCCCTGCTCAGGCAGGAAAAAACTATACCAAGACATTGGCTGTCCAGTCTCTTCTTAAAAACCTCTAGTGATGAAGCACTCACAACTTCTGAAGGCAAGCTGTGCCACTGATTAAGTGTTCTAACTGTCAGGAAATTTCTTCCTAGTTCTAGGATATTTAATTAGGGATTAATTAGTTAGGGACAATTAATTAACAGGTCCTCCTGGCCTTCCACCACAGACCAGTTTGTGTCCCAGAAATGAGGCAGCTGTGAAAAAAAGGAACAGAAATGAGACAGGCCAGGATTGGGTTGAAAGCTGGACTGGGGAAGTCAAGGGGGGGATGACCACTAGGCCTTTGCACACCCGTCTCTGAGTTCATTAAAGGCTGATCCAGTCCAGTTCTAAACTTCTGCTTGTCTTTCACCTTTCTCCTTGGTTCCTGCTGTCCTGCTGTGCATGGGGGTCTCTGAACTGCAGCCACATGGAAGGAAAGTCATGTGTTGCGCACGTTTCCCTTGGAGGATGGGGGTGTCTGTGGAAAACTCACCTGACACTAATGAACATCTTTGTTTTGGGCCAAAAGGGTCAGGGAGAACTTTGGCGGGGGGGGGGGCAATGTACAGCAAGGATGTGTGTCGAGGATACTGTGCGTATTTACACAACACTGCACTCATAGCTGAAGAGCCAGGACAGGACAGTTTTGGACACAAATGCCCCGAGGAAGCCAAACAGTCAGAAAGTTCAAGTGTGTTGATTGGACTTTTGTGTTATGTCAGCCGAGCTAAATGAAACCTCCACTTTCTGAGACAAGTCTACCTGCGAATCATCTCCTGGCTGGATGCAAATGGCAAGGGAAGGCCCCGCATGAAGGCTTGGTGCACTTCTCACATGCCTTTTGCTTGGGTTCCACTCGCAAAGAACTGCAAGTGGCGACGACAGTCTCGGTTGCCGCCAGAGCACCTTCTGAACTTGGCTCCTTCAGGGACTCATTTTTACGCTGCTGCCTGCCGTGAACTGGGAGCAGCTAAAGGCAGGAACCACCCAGGCCAAGGTCACAATTTGGAGATTCCCAGGCAAAACAGCCCTAATCAGGTTTTCAGCAAACACTTAAATAAACCCAGTTTTCAGTTTCCTTTGTAGAGTCGTTCAAATGTTATGAGAGTCAAAACAGAGATGCAGATTGGGGGGGGGGGGGAGACACACACCGACTGCCCTCCAGGACGAGGCAAGGGAACTGTAGGACCGAGGCTCTTTCAGTAGCCGGCGCAAGGCTGGGAAGGCTGCAGGGGGCTGGAGAGGACCCTGCAGAGAAAAGAGCTGCTGGTTCCTCAAACTACAGAAGTGCAGCCCCTTCCCCACAGCCTTGTTCTCCTTGGCTGCTTCCCCATCTGAAAAGCGCAGAAGGGTCTCCTCGGAGCACGGAGAGGGCTGTCGTCGGCTCCGGCTGCTATTTCCCCGTTTCTGCTACACCCTGGGAGACCTCATTCCCACCCAAAGCTTCACTTAGAGACGGGGAAGAAAGCTCCTTTCTTTTGCTCTGCAACAGGACCAGTGAAAGGGCCTCTCCGCCCTGTGGAACTTCCCATCCCAAGAGGAATAAGCAACTTCACTGGAGGCCAGAAATGACCATCCTGAAGCGTTGCCACTGACGGTGATGTCCCTCCTGGCGGACTAGAGTGCTCCTGGGCTACAAGGGGCTTTCCCCGATGGCGTCCAGAGAGGGGGAGCCAAACAGCTACACAAATGGGCCTTCGAAAGCAGGGCTTTTCAACCAGTGGTACGGGTACCACCTGTGGTACATTGGCACCTGGCAGGTGGTACGCGACCATCCTAGAAAAGTGGTAGTGGGGGAGGGGAATGAGCTGAACCGGTGGCAGCACCGCACAAGCCTGAGCAAGAGACGGCTGGAGCTGCAGGGCTGTCAGGGCTCAGCGGAAGCGCCAGGATCAGCGCCAGGGTCCAGCTGGAGCTCAGCACTGATCCTGGCATTTCTGCTGAGCCCAGAAGAAGCGCCGATCAGCTGGAATGTTGCAGCCTCTCCAGGGTCTTGTGATTTACATTCAGATGCTTGGCAACTGATTCATATTTATGACGGTCACAGTGTCCCAGGGTCATGTGAAGTGACCAAAACCTGCTGCAACCACCCAGCAGACGGGGGGGAATAAAAACCAAACACCCCCCCACCCCACCCCCTCTGCCAATCCTCAACAGAAATGCTCACAACAATGGAAACCTCGGACAGGAGGAAGAGCGCGGCCGGGTGGGCAGGCAAGTGTCTTGCTTGGCTGTGGCTTGGGAGGCACTTTTTTCAGTGCCATTGTAACTTCGAACAGTCACTAAGCGAACTGTTGTAAGTCGAGGACTCCCTGTACTTTATCACTTTTTTCCTTTATTTTTTTTGGTCATCAAGTTTTTGACCCCTTGCTAGGCGACTGGTGGTCCTCGGATGTTGCAATATCCTAAAAATGGTACCATGGGTGAAAAGGTTGAAAAGCCCTGTTCTAAAGAGCCTCCCACCCCATCTGACCATCCAGGTCCCCAAGAGCTGCCTCCGTTCTGAAACCGCCCGGCTTGATCTCCCCTCCCTATTTAATTAGTTCGTGCCGAGTTTAATTTCCTCTTTCCCCGCCTTCCGACAAACACTGGAAACTGCCCTTTTATCCTAAAGACGACCTTCCTGATTGTCTTGTGTGCCTCTCATTTTGTGTGTAAATAGGGAGCCAAACAGCAACTTTTTTTTACTTCTGCTTTTTAAACCAACTGGCCGTTGATTAGTCTGACATGACGAATTTCTGAAGATTGTGAGTTCTAGTTCTGCCTTAGCCATGAAGGCACACTGGGTGACTCTGGGCCAATCACCAAGAGATTGTGAGTTCTAGTCCCACCTCAAGCCATGAAAGCCCATTGGGTGACTTTTAGCCATGAAATCCCACTGAGTGACTCTGGGCCAATCCCCAGGAGATTGTGAGTTCTAGTCCTGCCTCAGCCATGAAAGCCCATTGGATGACTTTGGGCCATTCCCCAGGAGACTGTGAGTTCTAGTCCTGCCTTAGGCATGTCCCTCTCTCTCAGCCCAACTCACCTCACAGGGTTATTGTGGGGAAAATAGGAAGAGGAGGAGGGGGGAGTATTTGGTATGTTAGCCACCTCGAGTTATTTTATAAAATAAAGGTGGGATATAAATCTGATAAATAAGTTTCAGTGGAGGGTGACCTGTTCCTCACAGTGCAAAAAATAAAAACTGTGGAACTCCCTGCCACTGTGAAACAGCTCCCTACAGTTATGGAGAGAACCATACTCTTGCCAATATCCCCGTCACTGCCAGCAGAAACAGGACTCTTGTGGGACATAATTTTAGGTTTGTCTCCAGCTTATTCTTCTGCAATTAATCAAGAGCCAAAGTCTTGTTTTAGCTGGTGAATTTTTACGGCCAATTTGCATGTTGCAATGTGTTCATTGCCCAATCCTGCTTCACTGGAGGACAAATTCCACAATGCATTCTGCGTAAACAGGATTGTACGGGAGAAACCCATTTGGAGAAGCAAAACAGT